GAAACAAAATAGGAAGTGTTTCACTGCGTGGTTTGTGACTGCACCTGAACATCTCAGTCCTGGTGCTGCAGAATCATAACAGTGCTTTAGAGGGACTTCAGATTTAAGAGCTGCCACTCAGACATTCAACATTTACCCTCCTTCCAACACTAAAGTGTCTAAGTGTCTTCATCTTTTGAGTCAGTGCTGTGAACAAAAACACATTGCAATCTAAAATAAAAACAGTTTTATGTCTGAAAATCCCCTCCAGACTGAATGTGTCCATTCAGAGTGCCTGACATCAGAGCCAGACACTGCATGTTTGCATATGGTGGAACAGAAATGAAAGTGAGGGACTCAGCAGAGCGGATTCATTTGCAACACAAAACCATGAGCCACATGGTGTGAAACAAGACCGCTGAGTTATCAAATACATCTCAGGGATAATAATCAAATATTTATTGCCTGCTGCCGGAGGACTGACAGTAATGTTTTTTGCCTACACGCCTACAACTGATTCCTTTTGGACATGATTCAAGATGGCTGCCACGGCCAAGTGACCTTTAAAAATATTGGTTTTAACATTTCAAGCTAAACTTTGGTCTGGTAGTAGCTGAGAATCATCGTGAATACGTATGTTGAGCGTGACATATTGCATAAGATCATTTTCAACATACTATTAATCTTAGCCTAAAACTGTGGCATGAAAGGTGCCTTCATGTAACGTTAGGCCTTTAAAGTCTCTTATCATAATCTAAAATGGTATTTCTTATTTAATATAAAATAAAAATACTTCAACTTGTCCATTTGGTTTAACATGGGCAACAAGCGTTTTTAAACAACTACTCCAGAGTGTATGTGTTGGACAGATTAACAGAAATCCAGTGGGGCTTGAAAGTTTGTGAACCCTTTAGAATGTTCTATATTTCTGCAAAAGATTTTCACGCAAGTCCTAAAAAGTAGATAAAGAAAACCCAGTTAAACAAATGAGACAAAAATATTATACTTGGTAATTTATTTATTGAGTAAAATGATCCAATATTACACATCTGTGAGTGTCAAAAGTATGTGAACCTTTAACAAGGTTAATTCAGGTCCTCTGGATGGATTCTTCTTTGTTGAAACGTTTTGTCTTTTATCCAAAAGACTTCTTCAGTCTGAGGCTCTGCAACAAACTCAGTCTTATAAACAGCACCTTCTCATCAACCAGTTTGTCTCTGCCTCAGCAAAGCCAAACCACTACCTTCCAACATCAGTAGAGAGGAGAGGGATGCACTCACCACTCTTAGCAAGGACAAAAACATCATCATTCTCCCAGCAGACAAAGGAAGGTGCACAGTGATTTTGAACCAGAAAGACTATCATGAGAAAGTTATGACACTCCTTAGTGACTTAACCACTTATGAACCTCTGAAAAGAGATCCAGGAAGTGGTTACAAGAAGAAGTTAAAAGATTGCCTGAAAAAATTTGGAGCAGGACAAGGCTATTGACCGTATTCTGTACCACAGACTGTACCCAGGGGAGTCTGTATGGTTTACCTAAAATCCACAAACAAGGTAAACCATAAAAAAAAACAATTGTTAGCATGATTAACTCTGTGACAATGTTTCCAAATATCTGGCGTCTGTACTCATCCCTTTAGTTGGCAGCTCAGAACACCACATACATAACACCATGGACTTTGTGGACAAGGTGAGGGATGTCATCATGGAGACTGATGAAACAATGGTCTCTTTTGATGTCACATCACTCTTTACGTGCATTCCTGTTGATGATGCAGTAGAGGTGGTCAGTTTAAGATTAAAATCAGACACTACCCTGAGCAGCAGGACCACACTTTTTTATGGGGGCCAATATTATAGGCAGAAACATGGGTGTGCTATGGAGTCTCCAGTTTCTCCTATTATTGTAGGAGGTAGAAAAGAGAGCCTTGTCATTCTTTTCAGGGACACCGCCAAGTCATTTTTCAGGAATGTTTATGACACCTGGGTTAAAATCTGGCCTTGAGATGAGTGTAGACCACAGAGTCCTGGCCTGATGATGTTGATCTTCTGTGCTGGGCCATCTTTTTGGCCAGTGTCTGTTTTGTTTCCCCGATGTAAGACTGATCACAGCCCTGACACTGAACAGCATACACAACATTACTCTGTTTGTGCCGGGGGACTGGATCTTTGGGATGAACCAGTCTTTGCCGTAATGTATTTTGGGGTTTAAAAGCCACTGGGACGTTATGTTTAGAAAATAAACATCTCAGTTTCTCTGATACTCCCTCAACATACGGAATGACCACTGGTCTGGGTCTGGGTTCCTCCTTTTCACCTGTTGGCTGACTGGAGTCCTGTTTGGGTTTCTTCTCTGCTTTCAGGAAGGCCCAGTTAGGATATCCACATTGCTCTAGAGCCTGTTTTGTGTGGGATTTCTCCTTCTGCCTGGCTCCCGAGTTAGTGGGGACACTGTCTGCTCTGTGATACAGAGTCCTGATGACTCCTAACTTGTGCTCCAAAGGGTGATGGGAGTCAAACTGCAAA